GCCTACTTTTTGATGGAGTTGTTTTTTTTTTTTTTTCTTGTAAATTTAAGTTCTTTGTAGATTCTGGATATTAGCCCTTTGTCAGATGGATAGATTCCAAAAATTTTCTCCCATTCTGTAGGTTTCCTGTTCACTCTGATGATAGTTTCTTTTGCTGTGCAAAAGAAACTTTTGGTGTTTTAGTCATGAAGTTTTTGTCCATGCCTGTATCCTGAATGGTATTCCCTAGGTGTTCTTCTAGGGGTTTTACAGTTTTAGGTCTTAAGTCTGTAATCTATCTTGAGTTAATTTTTGTATAAGATTTAATGAAGGGGTCCAGTTTCAGTTTTCTGCATATGGCTAGCCAGTTTTCCAAACACCATTTAATAAATAGGGAATCCTTTCCCCATTACTTGCTTTTGTCAGGTTTGTCAAAGTTTCCTATTCTTGATTCTGAATTACAGGACTTCTCTCCTATGGCTTCCTCTGTTTGTGCTGATATTCACTTTCATGTTTCAGGTGCATTTGAGTCCAGGCTTAAGGGTTACTGAAGAACAAAGTTGAGAAAGTTAACTGCTTTACAGTTGGGTGATACTTCAAAGCCTCATCTTCCTCATCAATCTTCTTGCTACTATTTACTTTTAGAGTGTTCAAATAGCTTCCCCATGCATTTTATATTGATGTTTTTTTCAGTTGCATTTAGTGGGAGAGATAGAATAGAGAGTGCTTACTTTATCTTACATGGAATTGAAACACCTTGTGTAGTGTATGGTTCCTTCCAAATGTATAACCCTAGCCTAGATCTCATTTTCTATCTCTTTGCATCTAGCAGTGTCCCAGACATATTTGTTTGATTATTCCCCTGATTCATCAAATTCAATATTTCCAAAACTGAATTCATCTTCTTCCCCTGGAGCCTATTCCTCTTCATGTATTTCTTATCTTTGTGAATGGCACCACAGTCTACCCAGTTACCTACATCTGAAATCATGACTAAATTCTTTCCTGTCACACATATCCAAACAACCACTAGGCCCTTTAAATTAATTCTATCTTTTTATTTTTACTTACTTATTTGGATAAAGAGTCTCATTCTTTCACCCATACTGGAGTGCAGTGACAGATTTCAGCTCACTGCAGCCTAGATCTTCTGGGTTCAAGCAATCCTCGTGCCTTAGCCACCCAAATGGTTGGGCTTATAGTGTTTTCCACCATGCTTGTCTAACTTTTTCCTGTAATTTGAGTAGAGATGGGGTTTCTCCATGTTGGCCAGGCTGCTCTTGAACTCAAGTGATCCACCTACCTCAGGCTCCCAAGGTGCTGGAGTTACAGGCATGAGGCACCATGCCGGGCCTGAAATCTATCTTTATAGATTGACCATCTCTTCTCTGTCCAAATTGCTACTGCTTTGGTTTTGGCCGTCAATACTTCTTTCTGGAATACTTAGAGACCTTTCTAATTGATTTATACCACGAGTCTTACCCTCTACTTATCTAGTCTTCACTTTGCTCCTGAAGTAATCTTTTTGTAACAAGTCTACATAAGTAGTTTAGGATTCTTCATTGGCTCCCATGAATCCTGGGATAGTGAAACTCCTTAGTCTATGTTCGGTAAAAAAGCTTCTTAGAACACACTGCTTCCCAGGGCCCAGAACAAAGGAACTGTAGTCCCAAGATCATGAGACAAACTCCCATTTCTTTTTTCTTCTTCTGTTCTGCTCCACCTTGGCTCCAGACATGGGCACCACAAGTGTGGTGAGCACTCACTCTACATGGAAGTTTCTGGGTGGATGAGGCAATAGGGTGAAGTTCTTTTTGTCTTTTTAATAATCGTAGCTTTATGCCTGGCATTGTGGCTTTATTGCTATAAAAGCCAATGTTATAATTTTGTAAACCTTGACTTGAATTTCCCAACTGTGACTAACATACAGAGTTCTAACCATGACATTTTCTCCATTTACACAACCAAGACTTACAAAGACCGGGAGAAAAAAGTACTTGATCCTGTAAACAGGCATCACATGTCTATAATTCTCATAAAGGATGTAGCTTTATATCAGCTCCTCTCTTCTTTTATTTCTAAATTAGAATCTTCATTGAGTTTCTTACTGTCTATGCCAGCTGTAGTGAACTCTTGGTGCCCTTTTTCTAGATTTTATTGTTTAAGGGATGAGTTTAGGGAGCAGCATTTTATCTTCAGACATACATGCTAAAGCTCTCCAATGAGTGTGGGGTTTTATTTTATTTTATTTTTTTAAATACAGGGTCTTGCTCTGTCACTCAGGTTGGAGTACAGTGGTGCAGTGGCACAATCTCACTCCATTGCAGCTTCAATCTCCCAGGCTCAAGCGATCCCCTTGTCTCAGCCTCAGGAGCAGCTGGGAATACGTACATGAACCACATTCCCAGCTAATTTTCTTTAATTTTTTAGAAACAAGGTTTCACTATGTTGTGCAGACTGGTCTCAAACTCCTGAGCTCAAGCAGTCCTCCCACCTTGGCCTCCCAAGATGCTGGGATTATAGGAGTAAGCTGCTGCACCTGGCCCCAGTGAATGTCTCAGAGACGTTGCTAAGAAATTATGTAACACCAGGTTAACAAAATTAAAAAAAAAAAACTCCTCTATTCAAATTGCATGGAAAACCAATTTGTTAGTAAAGGCAGTAAAGAGCAACATGACCTATGAAGCAATGTAGGGAGACACACCTGGGTTTGAAACTTGCATATTCTGAGTCACATTCCCCTAGACAAGTTCCTTTGTCACTCTGAATTTCAGTTTCTTCATCTGTAAAATGGAGATGTACTGATTATATGAGGTAACAAAATGAAAGTGTAAGTGTAAGCTCAGTATATACAAATTCCCTCTCTTAGGGAATAGGCTCTTAGAATATGGACTCATATTCTTATTTGAAATTACAATATAAACTTTCTGCTGTGACTTTGAACAGATTCTGAAAATTTTTAACACTTCTCCCCCAACATCACACACTTCTTCTAATCCATGGGAATTGAGGAGGTAAGGGGAGGAAGAGGAAAACGATGCTTGAAGAGAGAGAGAGAATTCTATTTTCCCAAAACTCAGCATAGCTCATCTGCTGCTTCCCTTCAGCTTGTCTGAGAATTCTTAAATGAACTTCGAATGCTTAGTGTTCAGTGGATATTGACATCTTTGCAATTGCTTTTATTAGTGATTATTCTAAAGTACAAAATAAGAAACCACCTCCGAAGTGAGTTCTTAGACATATACAGAGAGTTTGTAGCAATAATTATTAACTATCCCTATACATGTGCTTCTTAAGAAAATGCTAGCAATGAGCATTTTAGAAAAGTTTTAAAAATACAGCCAGGAGCAGTGGCTCACACCTATAAACCCAGCACTTTGAGAGGCTGTGGTAGGAGGATTGCTTGAGTCCAAGAGTTCCAGACTAGCCTGGGAAACACGGTGAAACCCTGTTTCTACAAAAACAAAACAACAACAACAACAACAACAAAATCCAAAAAATTAGCTGGGTGGTTTCGGCACATGCCTGTAGTCCCACCTACTTGGGAGGCTGAGGTGGGAGGATCACTTGAGCCTAGGATGTTGAGGCTACAGTGAGCCATGTTTGCACCATTGCACTCCATCCAGCCTGAGCAATAAAGAACCCATCTCTTAAACAAACAAACAAAACTACTTGAATGAGAGCAGCCCTATATACAATTGTGAAAGAGGCAAGGCCTCTCCTGTTCTCCTGGCATTCTGGTTTGACCAGATATCTGCAATGTTCATTATCACTCTTAATTTTATCTCTCTTCCTCAAGGAGTTATTTTTAATAGACTCTTCCTCCTTTCTCTCTTCCTTCACTCAAAATGTACTTCTCTGTAGTTTTGTGCTATTTAGAAGCAGTTAGGAAAAACCTGAGGAAAATAATTCACTAAAGATATCAATGGTTAATGAATAGTTATTGTGTTATTCCCAGGGTGTGGGTGGCACTTTGTTAAGCAAGGAAAACTTGAAGACTGGGCAATAGCTTAAGAAATTAGAAATACAGAGTTTGTATGTGGGGATGGTAGCCACAGAGACATTTCCGAGGTCCCTCATATCACACAAGGAAGCAGCCACCTTCACTGATTATGTGAAATTACAATAATTTCTGTGGTGAAGTAACTGAAAATCTGTACAGGGCCAGCAGTTCCTCATAGATTTTTTGATGTTCTTCTGTCATTCCATTTGGCTTCAAGTAGACAACAAGAAGGAAAAAAGAAGGCAATACAACAACAAGGAAAAAGACAAAAAGGGAAAATAACAAAACTTGAGGAAGACTTGAGTTATTCAAATTGCAAACTTTTACACTGAAATTTTTTCCATTGACTCCAAATTTTGGACCTAAGATTTTTTTCCCCACATTGTGCTTTAAGTTAAATTGATAATTTGAGCTCAGATCTTGAAGGTGGGTTTTAAAGGGTAGAAAGGCTTATATTTGCAAAGTAATATTCCAAATATGAGTTATAAAAATGGCCATGTTTTCTAAGGATCTCAAAGCCCCCTAGATAAGGGAGTCATGAAAGCTCTATTTTACAGAAGAACAGAAACCGAGCTCTAGAGAAGTTGAGAGACCTGGTCTAGGCTGCACAGTGAGTCCTCCCACCCACTCCATGTAGGGAAAGGGAACTTTTGTCCTGGGGGTGAAATTAGAGGACTTTCCCATCTCTCAGTTATACAAAAGTTCCACTGATCAGGAGTCGGGTGGGAGTGCAGAAGAGATTGAAATCTGGCTGTTGTCTGACTACTTGAGTTGTTGAGGTCAGCCAGAGAGGAAGGAAAAGTCATGATTATGCTTTGACTTTATGTTGGTGTGTGATTTATGCACTCTGTTAGACAAGCTGCTTTCTTCCCCTGTTCCTTTAACAGGCAGTCTCATTGCTGGAGATGACTGTCAGCTGCTTTCTCTGCATAGCCACCATCACATGCCTCACCACTGGAGCCTGGGAAGCCTGACCACAAACCGGCATCTCCAAGGCATGAATAATTAGGTAGGCATAATGGAAGGCACTCATTGCACCCTCCAATTGCATAAGCCCATTACGGAACTCTGCTACATCAGCTTCTATCTTCCAAAGGGGGAAGTCAGAGGATTTTCATACAAGGGCACTGTAACTCTAGACAGATCCAATAAAGGTTTTCATAACTGCTACCAAGTCAGGGAGGAGTCAGACATCAGCCTCAGCCAGGAGCCAGACGAACATCCAGGCGACATATTTTTCAAGCAGACTCCCACGAAAGACATTCTAACTGAGCTGTACAAACTCACAACAGAGAGAGAGAGACTGCTAGCTGATCTCCTGAGCTCAGACCACATCCTGGGGATCACGATGGGAAACCAGGAGGGGAAGCTGCCAGAGCTGTCCGTGAGCCTCGCCCCTGAGGATGACTGTTTCCAGAGTGCTGGCAACTGGCAGGGAGAGCTTCCTGTGGGTCCTCTCAATAAGAAGAGCACCCATGGGAACAAAAAGCCTCGGAGGTTTGGTGGAAGGAGAGAGAGCTTTGGGGCTCTTCCACAGAAGAGGACAAGAAGAAAAGGGCGTGGAGGCCGAGAATCAGCTCCTCTGATGGGCAAGGACCAGATCTGTTCCAGCAACTCCCTTCCTCTTTCTAGAACAAGGCCTAATCATTGGCTACTAGAAGAGAGAGGAAATCTGCTCCCGAATGGGGCACTTGACTCCTCCCTGCAGAGGAGAGAGAGCTGCCCCCCAGATATTCCCAAGGCACCAGACACAGACCTTGGCTTTGGGAGCTTTGCTTTCAAGGACACTGGGCTTGGAAGAGAAGTGCTGCCCCCCGACTGCAGCTCCACAGAGGCAGGAGAGGATGGCTTTCGCAGGCTGCCGAGCGGGCTGGAGCATCAGCAAACAGGTTTGTCTGAAAGTCCCCAGGACCCTGAGAAGCATCCAGAGGCAGAAAAGGATGAGATGCAGAAGCCAGCTAAGCGGACTTGCAAGCAGAAACCTGTATCCAAAGTGGTGGCCAAAGTTCAGAACCTGTCCTCACAGGTACAGAGAGTAGTTAAAACGCATTCTAAGGGTGAGGAGAGGATTGCCATTTGCCCAGAAGCCCAAGCTGTGTTTGTACCCAAAGCTGACTTGCTCACCCTCCCGGGAGCTGAGGCTGGGGCTCGGGGTTCCAGGCGGCGGGGCAAGGAGCGGGAAGGGAATGGGTCATTGAAGTCACCAGCCACAGAAGCAGCCTCCATTTCTAGCGCACCAACCAGTGCCGAGGGGGCTGTGAACAAGGTCCTCCTGAAGGTGATAGAGAGTGAGAAGTTAGATGAAGCCCCTGAAGGGAAAAGACTGGGCTTCCCTTTCCACACGAGTGTCCCCCACACTCGCCCAGAAACCAGAAACAAGAGGAGAGCCGGGTTGCCCCTCAGTGGCCACAAGTCCTTGTTTCTGGATCTGCCCCACAAAGTAGGTCCTGACTCCTCACAACTCAGAGGTGATGATAAGAAGCCACCCCCCCCAGCACCAGCAGCTCTCGGCAAGGTGTTTAATAATTCATCCTCACAGTCCAGCACACACAAACAGACGTTACCTGTTCCCTCGCCTCTGTCTCCAAGGCTTCCCAGCCCTCAGCAGCATCACAGGATCCTCCGCCTCCCTGCACTGCCTGGTGAGAGGGAAGCTGCTCTTAATGACTCTCCTGGTAGAAAGAGCCGTGTCTTCCCTGGGTGCGTCTCTGCTGACACCTTGGAGCCACCATCCTCTGCAAAGGTCACGGAGACCAAAGGAGCCAGCCCGGCCTTCCTCAGAGCAGGCCAACCTCAGTTGGTGCCTGGGGAACCTTTGGAAAAGAGCTCGGGGCCAGGGAAGACCACAGCTAAGTCCCAGCACCAGTCACCTCCAGGTTAGTCTCTGTTTAAGATGCTTTGAATCTATTCTTGGCTGATTGGAGAACTATCAGTCTGCTTGTGCTACTTAGAGACTGGCTAATTAACAATGAACCAAAATTCCTGGGCCTATTAGTTCACTTTGTAGCAAGAAAACTGGGAGTGGTATTGGGAGATGTGGAGATGATGGGGATGGTTTTGACCTAGTGGTTCAGAGGTATAGTTGCTTCCAGAAGCAATACTTTATATTTTTTTTTCCAGCATCCTCTAAGGCTGCTTCTGTGGTTTGATAACACAGTGACTCTCAAAGGAAACAGGAATAGGATGAAAGAAGTAGTAACTTGTCCCTGCCTTTGATGTGGACACTAGGTAATTGACCTCTTGACCTAATTTTGGCAGTTCATGCTGCTGGAGTCATTCTTGGGATTCTCTAAGCAGAAATGCAAGAGTATTTTGGTTTTTTTTGTTTGTTTGTTTTTAGTAATCACCTCTATAACTGTTATTATTTTTTTTAACCAAAAGAAAGATGAATTCACTCTAATTTGAAGAAACTTGGTTCAAAGTTTTCTCTTTTTTTACTGTTTTTAAATTTCCCAAATAAGCACAAAATCACTTAATTCTGTAGTTATGTTTTACTTGTGGGTTATTACCGTTACTGGTATAGCATCATTTCTTATGTAAAAGGTGCTAAAGAGCTCATTTGACTTATATACTGAATGTGATTTAAAATGTTATGTGAAAACAATTCTTGGGATTCAGTAGGACCAAAAAAGACTGTGTAAAAGAAGTGCCATTTCAGTATTCATTACATTTTCTAGACAGTTGTGGCCAGATTCTCAGGGTTTTCATATGCCATTGTGCAGGTTATGTATTCTTTTTCAGAGATCCTCTAACAGCATATGGGCAATGCTCTGTCTAGGAAATAGCTTGTAATATGATATACGGTCTCTTACAGGTTAGAGCAAATATCAAGTGCAATTTTGAGATAAAAATATCTATCTAGGGAAGAGAAGCCTCAATGCTTTTGGGTCATTTTGAACTTGTGAAATTTTGTAAATCTCTCTAGATCATTGATCTGGGGGTAGATCTTTAAAACTGTGGTAAATGCTTTTCATCTTGTGTTTTGCAATATATCAATCTTGTTTTGGTAAGGTCTACCACTTTCATAACCAATCTGTTTCAGGAAAGTCACAGAATCGTAGACTTTATATTATGTATTATAGAACCCTAGTGATGAAAATTCTTTCTCCTGTTGGATGCTGACGACTTAGAAACACTTGACAAGGAAACTCATATTATTAGGCAAGAGACTTCTGGAGGCATGAGTGTACAATATCTTTCAGCTGCCTTAACTTCAAAAACTGTGCAGAAACTGTGTATTAAATACATTGCTTTTTAGTAAATCCTCTTTTCCTTGATTTAGGATTATCTTATTATTTAACCCTTTTTCTGTTTGGAAAATATCATAAAAGCTCCAGTGAATCTTGGTCAAGGCAGGCACACAGAGCACATTCAGTTTCTGCTGGAGACTGACCATGGTCCCACTGAAGGACGAGTTAAATGGATGATCACACGTTCCCTTGGCCTCTCCATGCACATGCTCATACCGTTCCCTTTACTTCAGCTTTCCATTGGGATCTTCAGCAGCACTTTCAGGAGCCAGTCATGTAAGGATCTCTTGTGCTTCTAACCTTATAAAAGAAGGGGCTGGAAAAGGGAAGGAGAGTAGGAGCGGGTAAGAGCTTTTTTTTTTTCTGACATGGGTAATTTCTCTGATATGGAGACTTCCTGCAGGGCCTCCAGCCATTACCTCCTATTTGGCACTATTTTGAAAGGCATGAGGGAGTGAGTTCCCCAGATAGTACCTTTGATATGTATCCTGTGTTTTAGTTCCCTTTCCTCTCTTGATTTTCCCTTTTCTGTAGCCATGAGTCCTGTTTATATTCTCAACCCTTCAGTGACTCCCTGCGGCTGGTAAGCCCATTCCAGGAGAATTTTCCTGCTTCCAGCTACCTTTGTCTTTCACTTCATTTCTCTTCCCACCTAAACCCAGAAGAGGGCTTGGACAGTTGCCAGCAGTCCAGAAGGAGGAGTGAATAATTCATTTACCATCACAGTGTCCCTTTATCTGAACCCAACTCCCACCTTTCTCCCAGGTTAGCTATTAACCAGGTTAAGTTTATGGTCTGTGGACATTTATTTCCTGTGGAAATAACATCTGGGTATTTTTATTGAAGTGATATCATTAAGATTATTGAAGGCTCTCATTAACTGCTCAAGTAAGAGATTAAGTCTGGCAAAAGTAATCAGCTCTGTTTCCATTTGGAAGATTCTTCAATGTTAGAGGCAAGCAGTAATTCCCAGGAAATAGTTAAACCCACTTATCCTTCTTAGGAGACTAAGCAGTTGAAGCTGACATTACCATTCACGCAGGATGTAGCATAAAGATATCACAGAAGCCAGTGATGCACCTTCTGTTGGCTTGTAATTTTCTTATTTCAAGGACAATGCACGGGAATCTCTTACATAGTGGTGATAAAATAGAGACTATACTAACAAGAACTGGTAGTCAGGTCTGTCTTCTCATGCCTCTTCCCACCGTCAACCTGGAGATCGGTTTTATGGTATTTTATTATCTGGGGGATGGAGACTGATGTGGAAAGTTCCCAAGCCTTTGTGGAGTATGGTCTTCCCCCAAACCTTGAGGAACTTTAGTTGTGCTAGCCGGTGAAGCAGTATCCTTGGGGCTTGGTGCTAGGATTCCTTTCTGTTTTGCTTGCTTTCATTTACCTTTGATTCATTAAGCCCTTTTCGTGCCAGAAGAATCACAGGGAACTTGGCTCACCACACTCGAAAATACCTAGTCTTTAGTGTGCTCTGAGTAATCTTGTGATTGTTTTCCTTTGATTGAAGTCACCACTGATGTGGTGATAGAAGCGTAAGCCCCAGGAATAGTTCTTCTTGATACTGAGAACTGAGAATCACTTGATCAATTCTTGTGCCCATGAAAAAATATAATTAATGTCAGCTGATTAAGAGTTAAAAGGCATTTGACAATCTCACTTTATTTGCTTTCTGATCACTTACAAGGATAGTGACTTCTGTTAGACAATTTAAAAATTGGAATCAGGTGCTATCTAATGTAACTTTGCAGCCCTTGGGCTGTGATACTAGGTCATACCGTCCCCCTGGAGATCCTCTGTGTGCCCTGGCAGCTCAGCGTTCTATCATGGCATGTTCTGAGATTTCCACCCCATCATAGAAGGTTCTAGGAATTTTTTCTCACAGTCGTGGATTGTTCCAGTACATTGAAACAAGGGCCCAGAGCCTTATAGGAAAGAACTTGAAATTAGGTCAGAATTGGAATTCAGACATGTATAGGGTATAGATGGATTTGTGGGGTCCCAGAAGGATGTTGGACAATAGGGAGGAACCATGAACTGCTGAAGGAAAAGTACCATGAGAGAAGAACATGTCTGGGCCAGAATGTCTGTGGACAGACATTCCATATGCTCCTAGGAGGGCCCCTACACTCAAAGAAGGAGCTTTGGCACAAAGGAATGGAAGAACTTTATCATCAGAAGCCCAACAGTTTTGCAGTGTTGAAGAGCTGACTGGGTTTCATGCTAAGCAAGTGAGTGAGGACTTCAAACACTAATATTCAGATTTTTATATTAATAATTCATGGTATAGTCCCAGCTACTCGGGAGGTGGAGGCACAAGAATCACTTGAACCCTGGAGGAGGAGGTTGCAGTGAGCCAAGATCACGCCAATGCACTCCAGCCTTGGTGACAGTGTGAGACCCGTCTCAAAAAAAAAAAAAAAAAAATTCATGGTAACAGTTTTTTCACAGTAAAGTCACAAACCAGTTCATTCAGATTTCACGTTTTCTAAAATGTTAAAGTTTAAAGTTTTGAGTTTCACTTTTGTATTTAGAGGGAGAGCCCAGAAATGCTCTGTGAGTGAGTAAAGCTGTTGGTTTCCAGGTGAGCCCAGAGGAATCATGAAGAGTAAATAATGTGTGCAGCTTGGGCCTCAGCTATATTCTCCCTAGGATTCATACCTGTCTGGGCATGTCTGGATTATTTGACAGTCATGCCTGTCCGGAGTCTTTTGCTTTAGTGTGGGGATAATCATCACAGGACAAAGCTCATCTTGAGGAAAGCAAGAATTTGAGCCACATCCGAGGGCTATTGGCTACCATGGGGAGGGACAACACTGAAAATACAGCATGACGCATGTTCTCCAGATTTTCTGTTGCGCCAGCCCCATGGACTCATGCCTGGAGAGAGGGAGAGAGGACTGCCATAAAAAAAAAGCAGTGTGAAAATTTGAAGAGTAATGTTACTAAAATTTCTTTAGGACATTGAAAGCAAGTTCTGCATAACAGAATGTACAGACTTGTGGAAGCAGAGTCCCTGCTGGAGGTGCTATGGAAGCACGGTGTGATAGGGCATAATGAACTAGATTTTATCCAGTGTGGTTTTATTTATGATAGAATGAATGAGATTTTGTCTTATCCTAAGGAGAAGTGGGAGAGGTAGGCAGTTGTGCCTTGGGCAACCCGTCTGGTACCTTTGACTACAGCAGCCCTGGTGCCCATTTTGGAAGCATCAAGAGGCACCTTGTGCAGCCGGAGCAAGAGATAAAAGCAGTGATAAGGAGGAACGATTACATCCACAAGCACACATGATTTCTAGAATGGTTCAGGAGAACTTGGTGTGGGAGAGAAGGAAGCATCAACCTTGTTAGAATCAGTGAAATACTGATTTTGTAGTTTGTTATTACTCCCATGATTGCGGTTGCTGTAAGGAATTTTGTCAAATTCGTAGTTTGTTTTGAGATTCAAATGAAATAATATCAGTGAAAATACTTCATAAAGCACTTTTTAAAATTAGCTTATTATAATTATAGATCATTGCTGGTTCATAGGGGCAGAAAGGATTTTAAAAACCCACTCCTTTTGGTATTTTCCAATGATGAAATGATGCTACAAATATAGTTCACAATGAGTTA